CCCTTAATTTCTCGAGTGAAGAAAACTTCTCGGTTGGAGACTTGGAAAATCCAAGTCACTGAGTGGGATCGGCTATATGAATCTTAGAACGCCATTGTGCTTGATCCTGTGTCATATCCTTCGTTAGATCCAAGTATTCTAAGTCTTTTCTTAGAGTCTCTTCCAAAGTTTTCCTAGGTCTTCCTCTACCCTTTCGGCCCTGAACCTCTGTCCTATAGTCGCATCTTCTAATCGGAGCGTCAGTAGGCCTTCTTTGCACATGTCCAAACCACCGTAACCGATTTTCTCTCATCTTTCCTTCAATTTCGGCTACTCCTACTTTACCCCGGATATCCTCATTCCTAATCTTATCCTTTCTCGTGTGCCCACACATCCAACGAAGCATCCTCATCTCCGCTACACCCATTTTGTGTACGTGTTGATGTTTCACCGCCCAACATTCTGTGCCATACAGCATCGCCGGCCTTATTGCCGTCCTATAAAATTTTCCCTTGAGCTTCAGTGGCATACGGCGGTCACACAACACGCCGGATGCACTTTTCCACTTCATCCATCCAGCTTGTATTCTATGGTTGAGATCTCCATCTAATTCTCCGTTCTTTTGCAAGATAGATCCTAGGTAACGAAAACGGTCGCTCTTTGGTATTTCTTGATCTCCGATCCTCACCCCTAACTCGTTTTGGCCTCCATTTGCACTGAACTTGCACTCCATATATTCTGTCTTTGATCGGCTTAGGCGAAGACCTTTAGATTCCAACACTTCTCTCCAAAGGTTAAGCTTTGCATTTACCCCTTCCTGAGTTTCATCTATCAACACTATATCGTCTGCGAAAAGCATACACCAAGGAATATCATCTTGAATATGTCCTGTTAACTCATCCATTACCAACGCAAAAAGGTAAGGACTTAAGGATGAGCCTTGATGTAATCCTACAGTTATGGGAAAGCTTTTCGGTTTGTCCTTCATGAGTTCTTACGGCAGTCTTTGCTCCTTCATACATATCTTTTATAGCTTGGATATATGCTACTCGTACTCCTTTCTTCTCTAAAATCCTCCAAAGAATGTCTCTTGGGACCCTATCATACGCTTTTTCCAAATCTATAAAGACCATGTGTAAATCCTTTTTCCCATCTCTATATCTTTCCATCAATCTTCGTAAGAGATAGATTGCCTCCATGGTTGAGCGCCCTGGCATGAACCCGAATTGGTTGTCCGAAACCCGTGTCTCTTGCCTCAATCTATGCTCAATGACTCTCTCCCAGAGCTTCATTGTATGACTCATTAGCTTAATACCCCTATAGTTCATGCAATTTTGTACGTTGCCCTTATTCTTGTAGATAGGCACCAAAGTGCTCGTTCGCCACTCATTTGGCATCTTCTTCGTTTTCAAAATCCTATTGAAAAGGTCAGTGAGCCATGTTATACCTGTCTCTCCCAAAAGTTTCCACACTTCGATTGGTATATCGTCTGGGCCTATTGCTTTTTTATGCTTCATCTTCTTCAAAGTTACAACCACTTCTTCCTTCCGGATTCGCCGATAAAAAGAGTAGTTTCTACACTCTTCTGAGTTACTCAACTCCCCTAAAGAAGCACTCATTTCATGTCCTTCATTGAAAAGATTATGAAAATAACCTCTCCATCTGTCTTTAACCGCATTCTCTGTAGCAAGAACCTTTCCATCCTCATCCTTGATGCACCTCACTTGGTTTAGGTCCCTTGTCTTCTTTTCCCTTGCTCTAGATAGTTTATAGATATCCAACTCTCCTTCTTTGGTACCTAGTCGTTTATACATATCGTCGTAAGCCGCTAACTTAGCTTCTCTGACAGCTTTCTTCGCCTCTTGCTTCGCTTTTCTATACCTTTCACCATTTTCATCGGTCCTCTCCTTGTATAAGGCTTTACAACATTCCTTCTTAGCCTTCACCTTTATTTGTACCTCCTCATTCCACCACCAAGATTCCTTTTGGTGTGGGGCAAAGCCCTTGGACTCTCCTAATACCTCTTTTGCTACTTTTCAGATACAACTAGCCATGGAATCCCACATTTGGCTAGCTTCCCCCTCTCTATCCCACACACATTGGGTGATTACCTTCTCTTTGAAAATGGCTTGTTTTTCTTCTTTTAGATTCCATCATCTAGTCCTTGGGCACTTCCAAGTCTTGTTCTTTTGTCTTACTCTTTTGATATGTACATCCATCACCACAACAAGCGATGTTGATTAGCCACGCTCTCTCCTGGTATAACTTTGCAATCCTTACAAGTTTATACGATCCCCTTTCCTCATTAGAAGAAAATCTATTTGTGTTTTTGACGACCCACTCTTGTAGGTGATCACATGTTCTTCTCTCTTCTTAAAGAAGGTGTTGGCTAAGAAGAGATCATATGCCATTGCAAAATCCAAGATAGCTTCCCCATCCTCGTTTCTCTCCCCAAAACCATGGCCACCATGAAAACCTCCATAGTTGCCTGTCTCCCTGCCCACGTGTCCATTTAAATCTCCTCCTATAAATAACTTCTCCGTCTGAGCAATTCCTTGCACCAAGTCTCCAAGATCTTCCCAAAATTTCTCCTTCGAACTCGTATCCAACCCTACTTGAGGTGCGTACGCACTAATCACATTGATAACTTCTTGTCCTATTACAATCTTGATTGCCATGATTCTATCTCCTACCCTCTTGACATCTACAACATCTTGTACCAAGGTCTTGTCCACGATGATGCCAACACCGTTTCTCGTTCTATTTGTGCCCGAATACCAAAGTTTAAACCCTGAGTTTTCTAGATCCTTTGCCTTACTACCAACCCACTTAGTTTCTTGTAGGCACATAATATTTATCCTTCTTCTCACCATAACTTCCACTACTTCCATAGATTTTCCCGTTAAGGTTCCTATATTCCACGTTCCTAAACGCATTTTGCTCTCTTGAACTCTACCCTTCTGTCCTAGCTTCTTCACCTTCCCCCGTCTAATAGGATCAAAGTACTTCTTTTGTGTGTCCCGGGTAAAGTTGATAGGAGCATATGCTCCCAAATAACTTTGAGTGGAGTCGTTCGAAAATAAGTTTCTATGGCCCCCTTGCTCATTTAACACTGCATCCGGGTGCCGATGGAGATACAGCGACCCTTGCTCACTTATCACTGTGCTCGGGCCACACAGCGCGCCACTTACGGGTGACGCCCTAGCTTTAGCGCGATTTTGTTCTGGATTCATTTTCATAAGGATTCGACGTGATCATGGAGTGCCGGCTGTCGACTACCTGACGCCCTCCCCCTCCTCCTTTATCCGGGCTTGGGACCGGCCATGTAAGACATAGGCGGAGTTGGTTAGCTCATTAAATAAATTGCAAATTTTATATCCCCTTTAAATTTATATATTCATCATTAAGCTAAAGATTATGTAAAGAAATATTTCATATTTGGAAATATTTTGAATCAAACTTTCCCTGGTAATAATTTCTTGTCTTGTGAATTATATTAATCACAGTTGCAAGATGTGATATGTGTACTATACACTCCTTGTTTCATTTATTCGTGTATTGTAGACAAGTGCAGTTCTTAAATGTTATTACGTACTTGAGAAGCTTGCTTTACAAGTTTCCCTCAATCTACTATTGTTCCTACAGGAAGTGGAGGAGTCATTTGCTTTCTGGGGTACTCCAGAAGGTGATCTAGTCCATCCTGCTGAGTGTATTGAGCAGTTACTGGAGAAAGTTAGGCGTCACAGAGTCAATGTTGATGGCAATGTCTGTACTGTCATGGTAACGACTTTGGTACTTGAGGTAATTCCGTTTTCCTTTATATATCCACCACGGCTGAAGCATGGCTATTCTCTTATGAAATGAAACCTGTTGTTGCATTCTGTAATCCTTGCAATAAAAGCACGAGCAATTGCCCGTCTGTTGTTGATTGCTCAACTCCTTTCTGCTTCTCTTTATAAAGCCAATTTTATTTTCTTAGAAAACTAAAACGAATGGGATTAGATTTCACAACTGATGGTTGATTATTTGAGTGATTTCGTCGATAACTGCTCCACATATCTGAGTGATTGTGTTTTGCAGGGATGGCAGCGGAAACTCGACCCTGGGTACGATGTGATGCACACATTGCAAACGCTACTTCTCAAAGCCGACTGGGCAAAGTCCCTTTCCTACACAATTGAGGGGCTAATGGCTCCATAAGAAGGTCTTTGTCAGTGCTACTGCTACAATTACAAAAACAATTTTGACACTTTTGAATCCCAAAATATACCAGTCCCAAGAAAAAAGGGACACGAATGCTTTGATCTTTAATTTTATTTCATTTTATTCAATATTTTGAAGGTTCAATCCTTTGTGTATTATTTAGCTTGTTTTCGGCGAAAAGGGTTTCCTGTTTTGAAGCCTGAAGCAAAAACAGTAGAGGAAAAAAAAGAGAAATAAAGTGAAGATGTATTCTTTCCTGTACAGCTTGCAGTTTTATAAATTAATGCCTTCCTTGAGATTACTTACTTGACATATCTATTGGAAATAGATCATCGCCGGATCCTTTTTCTGGGGATCCTAGGAATCTCATGATCATAATCGTTCATCGTACATTGTGAGATTAGAAATCATTTCAAAATTTAAAATTAAATATAAATATTATATAACAAAAACTAACTGCATGATGTACAGTTATAATCATCTCCAGCAAAGTGATCCTCGCCGGATCCTTTTCCATATCTATTTACAGCACCTATCTTTCTCGTTTAAGTTACTCTCCCTTGCCAAGAACAAGAAGAAAAACATAGGATGAGTAGAAATTTTCTCTCGTTGATTGCACGATGTACGATATACGATCATGATCACGAGATTCCTAAGAAAACAATCCTCGCCGGATCCTTTTCCATATCTATTTACAGCACCTATCATTCTCGTTTAAGTTACTCTCCCCTTGCCAAGAACAAGAACAAAAACATAGAATGAGTAGAAATTTTCTCTCGTCGGGTCGGATCGATCCGGTAGGAACCATGAACCTGATATTATCAACAAAATATAGGATCAATCAAATCGCGAAATTTCTTCCATGCTCTGGACTATTCAATACAACGGAACAGAATGAATAAAAATAGCAAGTTAAGAGGAATAGAGTGAAGAAAAACGTACGGAATAGACGAAACCATTACCCTAATGACTTAACCTTTAAAAGCTACAATAGCTACACTGGAAAAGTTAGTTTTCGCTCGCTAGTTCTCGTGCCATCCGAAATGCGTTCAGTGGCGACTCAGACTCGAATGTTCTATGTCCATAAGGGATCGGAAAACATCATGGTTATATGTCGTGAAATGAAATTGTACCAGCATGTAATCAGACGCTACTTGCTAGGTAATGAAGCAGGGTTTCGAGAAACATTCCCGTCTGATGTAAGGTCAATGCTCCCATTCCTTCCATTTCTTATTCTCTCTGCCGGGAAGGAACAGTAACACTTGGCTCTTTTATCGCGACCGCAACAAATGAAGAATGTATATACACCTCTCTGTGTAATAGAATCAAAACGAATCAAAGTAGCCTCTCCACGATCTACAGCTGACGCAGTTTCCAGATGTTCATAGAAGATATAGCCGTGATCATCTAACCATTACCTGTAAGGAACATGGTAAGTGCTCAGACAATCCTGCAGTATGCATGGCAGTGAACAAAACAGACAACTATACTTTCTCAGAATGGAGAGAATAAGCGGGTGAGCCAAGGTTTACACACACAAACACGATACATGCATCATCATTCCATATGCCAGTTGATGTAGAAGCGTGATTTAATTGGAAAATATGAGTTCTATACCTTTTATTTGAGTATGGATAGAGTCCTGGGGACCTAGAGCCTCAGCAACGCAGAATTTACAAACAGGCAGTGGATACTCGACAATCGTTTAAAATCCCAAACTGTCATGCAACATCTTGACATGTCCAAGGAAGAATCTCCATTTGTTTTCTTTTTTTTCTGAAAATTCTGCAGGTGCTAAATGTTGGAAGCACAGAGGAGATAAATGTCTTCCTCAGCAGGGGCACTTACATTGCACAAGTAAGCTCACGTATTTCTTTGATTGCTGAACTAATACTATTAAGGGCCATTCTCTTCACCTGCATTTCATGACAAGGGCAGACACTTTCTGATCAATTTTTATGCATATTATGGAGAAAAAAATGACATCTCATACTAATATCAATGAAAGTTCACCTCTAGCTTGTCAACTTTTGCTTTATGGTGCTGGAAGCAGACGGACTTCATCAGTTAACTGGATGCACTCGGCAACATTTTCGGGTGATACAAAGTCCAGCACCACATGTACACAAGACTGCATGTCAAAAGAAACAGAATGTCCAATATTGTGATAATTTGCGGAAACAATAAACTTATCTGCATAATAAGTACAAGTCCTGTAAAAATTCTTGGTAATCATTCCAAGAACTCAAAAGTAGTAAAATACGAAAGATTCAAAAGGTTTTTCTAAATACTAGATCATAAAAGTGTCACGCACCTTAGAATTCCTAATCTGATATGGGCATCCAGCAGGTATGATAACAGCTTCTCCTATGTGTTGCTCAAAAGTCCAAGGCTCAATTTCTGGTGACAATGAGTGGTGGGTTAACTACAGTTATTCATAATTCAACCAGTGATTGAAATGACACAAATTACACTTACTAAATTCCTCCTTGAGCCTTAATTTGTGACTTGAGTCCAGAAAGAAACTCTGATCAAGAATGGGATGAACAACCTGCAGTAAGTGTGGACGTCAAAAAGTAAGATAGTCTTTAACCTGATCTGCTCAAATGCTGTAGCTATAGGTTTTGGGCTTACATGCTTATGAAAGTCAAATTTACGAGTGAATTCATTAGAGTGCCTTCTGAGATATTCTATAAGTTTTGGGACATCTTGTCTGCGAAACACATCCCATTGGGCACCACAAGACTTGTCCAAGGTTTGCTTTTCATAGCTATTGCAGCTGTCGACCAGAACCTCACACCTTGTATCTTTAGATGTTTCAGCATCATGAAGTCTCCCAGAGCTACTTAGTGTGGCTTCAGAATCAGTATCAGAATCAGATGTTTCAGCATCTGTGCATGCTTCATGCCTGGAGAAGCAAGACTCTCTAGCAATTCTTTTGCGTAAATGCATCTCCTCTCCGATCACATTATGTAGCCCTGCTTCTTTCATGGTTTCACTAAACAATAATGATTCTCCATTGTCTTTTTTTGCCACAAATTGTTCACAAGTAACCCTAGAACCCTCCCTCTGATATTGAGCCTTGTGCTTCTTCAGTAACTTTCTTATTTTTGAAACTTGTTCATCAGAGATAGGGACATCTGATGTATGTGCCAAAATGTTAACCTAGGGTCAAAAAAATCAACAGAATGAATGAAATGGAACACTTAGATCTGAAAAAATAACTGTTACCAAAGCAAAGCTAATCTTTAACAACCAAAAATATATATAAAAATGGTGAAGGTTTAGCAAACAGCTTATGGTTTTCTCCATATTCTTCGACCCAAATTTTTACTCAAATGAATTTACCAAGACTTTAAATTAATGCTTGGTGAAGTTGTCCAGGTGAGGTGAGACCACATCGGTATCAACCTATAAATTCAAATAAAATGCACGGAAAGCATTTACAGTTTCTTCAACAATTAATATGATATGGTGCCTACTTGTCCCATTGCAGCACATCATCAAAAGAAACAAGAGATCACTTGACAGTAAAGTAATAGGGATAATTACAAGGCATACCACATCATATGAGTCATAACATAGCTTTATCACTGCATTAGCTTGTACAAGTTGCTCGGTGCAGCCGTATGATATATAAACACAGGGACCTAGATCAGGTTTTGGGATTTCTTGTGGCATCCTTGCAGCAAGATTTAAAAGACCAGACGTGGGATTCATGTATTCTTGAAGTGGTAGAGCTCGTATTACTTCAGCATAATGAACTGGAAACTGTTCCTGAAACAACTGCGAAGAAAGCCAACCCTTCAACTTCAGTGTCTCATTCCATACATTTCGTTGGGCCTGCCCCCTTAATGAACCCATGAAGTACTGCCTGATTCCAAGTTCCACCTGCCATATAATATATATAAGTTTTTCTTTTAGAAGAAAGAAGGCTGGATGGTAGGAATATAATCATGTGTACTTGAAGAGTTTAGAGATAAAGGAGGTAAAAATGCAGAGGACTATCAGTTTTCTTTTTAAAGGCTAAATTTGAGAATGGGATTAGGTGTAGACAATCGTGAATCAAAAGATAAAGAGAGCAAATCTATAAGCAGTAGAGCTCCACTGACCTCGCACCAATCCAAGCAGTGGATAGCTTCATTTGAATTTGTGTTATTTTCATATCTAGCAATGCTCCTCTCAAGATAAGTGCAGAACATGGACACTGGATCCCAAGTCAAATCTGATGTAGTTTGAAGTACGTCTCGGACTATTACAGGATGACCTTTACTCCAGTGCTTCTGAAAGTGCTCAACATTATCACCATTTGTGCCCAGTAGCGTGGGGTAGTATAAGTAGTTATCGTTTGAGTTCTCTCTCACTGAAGCTTCTTGCAACTGTCGATTCCCATCAGTTTTCTGGTCCACGCCCAAACATAGTGGACAGCACAAAGACATGTCAGCAGTTTCTGGAAATTCATAGCTGCAAACTATTTCTTCTGCACTTACTTCCAGGTCTTTGATCCAACATAATGGAAAAACACATCTCAAATCAAGGAGGCTGTCACCACAACCTCCAAGCTCCTTAGGTGGGCAAGATATACCATTAACAGCATTACAAGATTTCAAGCTAGGTACTGATGCAGAAGAAGGGTACAAACTGCGGAAACTTTGCTTATGGGTGGTTATTGGCTTCTTTACAAGTTGCCCCTTACGAGAGACACAAGTTTTCTTTTTGTTAGTCTGCTTTATGAGAGTTGTGTTTATACCACCAAAAAGGCTCCCACTTAAAAGATCTCGACAGCAACTTAAACAAAGGTTATAGGAACAATTTGGGCAGCTTCTATGGAGATCCACTATTGAAGCTTTGCATTTATTGCTGTTCCCAAAGTCATTGATGCACCACACAAACAATGCAAGATCATTACATAAATTCCACTTTAACTGTTAAAACATTGCAGAATTATAGAACATACCAGCAGTGTTGTTCGTTGCAGCTATATTCAGCCTGCTTGATATGAACTTCAGATAGCTCTTCCCCTGGTATTACGAAGAAAAGATAGTTTTTTCAGTTATGACCACAAAGTTGGCGCAAAGAGCAACATTGTCAGTAGAATTACACAGTACCTCTCATTTTTGCCTCTGCTTCTAGCTCAACTTTCTGATCTTGGTTTATTTGTTTTAGCACGGGAAGAAGCATACAAATCAGATAATGGAACTGTAGTATTACTTCAACTTTATTCTTAACCCCCAAATAATCCTGACAAAAAGGGTGTGCATGATTTAAATCATTAGCATCTAACATCATACGAAGCATGAACAAGTTCACAAATGAGCCAAATTTAATGTCAGACCTTACTTTCCGCATCTTTTGATTGATTTTCAGAGCATTCCTTACAGGGGCAAGTTCCTCGACAGACTGGGCATGCCATTTTGACTTCATCTTGTGTATCAAAGTACCTAAATTGTTTTAAGAACCAAGATTCATCAAGCCTCATTGATTATAACAAGGAGAAGAACTATAACAAACAGCTTAGGAGAATAACGATATTATTGCAATGAGTTCTAGTCCTACCAATGTATTATCAGATTTGGCCTGGAGAATTGAATTCTCTCTGTGTCTCTACCAATGTTTTCATCTTGTAGGATGCAGAACATTCTACACAATCATGGCTTCTCATATAGATATCAGATACGCAGACAAGGGTGAATTTTCTAGCGTGACGGAAAAATACAAGTTCTTTATAAAGTTTTATTACAAAACATCAATCTCTCGGATCGTGGTGAAATTTACATACATTTCGGTATTCAAGGCCAGTATTCTAACTAATGACGACCAAATCCATATAAAAGAATTGAAACAAGAACTGTGTACCAGCATTGCAGTCTATGAGAATTGGTAACAAGAAACTTAGCTCTAAGATTCAAACATAAATTTGAGGCCATAATCCACAAAACACAAAACAAACCTTTCTTTGACGCAATTCAAGCAAAAGAAGTGCTTCTGGCAACTCGAACACTTAATTAGAGCAGAAGAAACACCGCTCCCTCTTTTTCGACACCAATGGCACCTTCTCCTCTTACCTTTCCTCAACTTCCCCACATCATTATATGGCAGAACCTAAACCAAAAGAATCAAAATTTCAAAAACCATATGACCATAATTGTTTCTTTCAGTCATTCAGCTCACCTGCAATGTGCCAGCAGGAATTGGCTCGATGTTCTTTGACCGAAAGCACCTCCTCCGCGTAGCAACCGGAGGCAAATCAGCCCCGACCTTCCCATCAGAAGACGAATTGGAACCTGCATTGCCGGACCGAAGCCTCGGCGACTGCGAGGAAGATGAAGAGATTGCCATTCGGCCATTGGGCAAGTCTCTGGTGAGATCACCGCCGCCGTCATCGTCGTCTTCATCACCATCCTCACTCTCCTCCTCCACAACATTCTTCTTCTTCGTAGTCGTCTGGTTCCGCTTCTCGACCTCCCTCCTCAGCACCATCCGTATGAGGTCCAAATTCAACTCGCTCTTCTTCAACTTCACCTTCCGCTTCTTCTTCTTGCAATTCTTCACCGCCTCGTCGGATCGCTTCCGCTTCAGCAACTTCACCAAATTCTCCACTTTCCGTGCCCTAATTTTGACTCCACCGCCGTTTCCGCTGCCGTTTTGATCTTTGTCCCCAGCGTTTTTGGGCGTCCTCTGAAGCTTGAGTGACTCGGGGACTTTCTCTCTGAACTGACGGTGACGGCCTTGGAGATAGTGAATCTCGCAGAGCTTCATGTCGTCCATGACTCTCCGCTTGCACCGCCATTTCCGGCCGTCGGTCCGGCCGCACCGCAGATGGTCCGGCAGCGCACCCTCCTCGCCCATTCCACAAAATTGATCTGATTTTCCCGGAAAATGTCTAATTTTCTCGGGAAAACGCTGGCGACTGAGAAAAGAGAGACAAAGCAAGGGGCTTTTGAGAAAGGAAAGGGATTATTTTTAGGGGTTTTGGGAATTTTACCTTTTTCGTATTTATTGAGAGAAACAGATGGAGCTTAATCTAAAAGATTGAGTTTTGAGGGGCATATTCCGTAATTACAGGGGAAGAAGGAGTCCCATTTGGTCTCGAAATCGTGAATCAGGTCAGATTCAAGAAATCAACATCCAAGATAATCTGGTCAGGTTCCAACTCTGCAACTCTGCTGCTGCACTGAATCCTCATATTTTGCAAAAAGATTTTTTATTTTTATTTTTTATTACTGTTATGAATTTGGTTCGATAGGAGGCTGGTTCAGTGACAGTTTACTAAGTTTGGCTGCAATTGGTTTTTACGATGCATGAACACGGTGATATCTCTTCGTATTCTCCTGTTGTGTTGTATTCCCAAGTCGTGTTGCATTGCTGTGTTCGTGTCCATGCATCGTAAGTTTTTATTCAGTTTTTCTCACTACATTTTTCAATTTGCAAATTTGGGGTACTTTTTTTGCAGCTTTGATTGATAGCTTGTGTTGCATGTGATTAGAGCTCTGAATTCCAAGTTTGGAATTTGATAAATTGATGTGGCATTTCAAATGCTTTTCAGTTTTTAGAGTGTGTATATAGTTCAGTTTTTAGTATGTCCAAATTTAATGTGCTGTATATATTATATTTTGTGGGTTTATTTGCTGCAACTTTGGACTATCTTTTGTTTATTTGGGATTTAAATAGGGAAGAAAAAGAGAAATGGAGTGTCCCATGCAACTGCTTATTGAAATTGGTTTTCTGGCTTTTCTTCATCTGATTGCCATGCAATGCAGCTGCAAACTTGCAATGCTGCATCCGACTAATTCTAGTTTTAGTTATTTTAATTCAATTTGTCTGATATTATGCAGCATGTAAACTTCCTTCACTTTCATGAGCAATCATGAGAAACAACAACCAACATGATTTATGAAAAACAAGCATGCTACGTATATCATTGCATTATATAATTCAATTGTTAATTTGTTCGTTCGAAGTTTATTTTATTATGAATTAATTTAGCATGCATTTAAGATTACTCCTTCTTTTCTGCCGACGAGAGCAATTTAGATTATCGCTTTGTACAAACAAATGCAGCTTTGCATGTTCCATTTCCTGGAAAATGGCATTGGCATTATATTTTTACACGTTTTTATGGTCATTTGGAACAATTATGAAGTTGATAACAAAAAAAAAAAAAAAAAAAAAAAAAACCCTGCATAGTACTCCTAGTAAAAACACGTGGGTTCCATACCAAGATATTGCTATTTCCCGAAGTAGCATGCTGTACATAGCTTTCTAGTTAATTATATAGCTCAGTTGAACCTAATTTAAAACAGAATAATGCCTTCATTAAAGTATCTTTTTTTGTTTCATTTGAAAAATACATATCAATTTGATATGAAGTATATTTACAATTTGGTTTGACAAACGTCTTGAGATGATATAATTAGTAAATATGTTCTTCCTCGTGTCAACATTATATACATGCATCCTTCATGAAGAATATCTGCATATCATCTTCTGCGGAGGACAATCTTGCCTTCTGCATCTTCATGCACAATGGCTACAACTTCCTCAGGGGGAACGTTCCACCAGATCCTAGGCTCCTCTAGCTGATGTCCAATTTGAGCAAATTTATCCGCGGCTCGATTGCCTTCCCTATAAACGTGACTCACAATGCAACCGTTGAGTTTTGGCAAAATCGAATTCACATCGTTAACTTGCCTTTGAACTTCTGCACATTTAAAATCTTTCTTTCTTTTCACAATAATATCGAGCAATGCCTTGGCATCTCCTTCAAGCCACACGTCTCTAAAGCCATTTTCTAACACCAACTCGAGGCCTCTTTTTAGGGCTACCAACTCAGCAATGGTGCTGTTGGCTTCTCCAATGGACTCAGCAAACCCTAGCAAGAATTCTGCCTTGTGGTTCCTAAAGACCCCTCCAATGCTAGCTTTTCCTGTTTTGCCTTTTGAAGATCCATCAAAGTTCAACTTGGTCCATCCAATCTTGGGCTTTTCCCATTTCACCGGAATCGGCTTTTTTCGATAATTTCTTACTGAAAACCAACCGGGCTTTGTAGTACTGGATAGACTTTGGCACCTCCAAATTTTTGTAAAGGCTAACATGATTTCTCCGCTGTAGACTTGTACTAGTTTAATCGGTGGTGTTATAAGAATGACTAAAAACACTTTCAACTATCAAAAACGCTTTCGGCAATGTTTGTTCGATGTGCGCTTGTAACAAAAATGTGCTTCATCAATCATCACGTATATAGTTTAGTTTTTCAGAGAGAGAGAGAGAGAGAGCACTTTGAAATGAAACCTTCAATTGATTAAGTACAATACGGAATATATATATATGGACATATATCTGCATTTTGATGCTAATCAGAAGTTTAGATTAACCGAAAACCAGCACGATTGTGTAAAATGAACTATTGCTTGACGTAATAAAGGTCTTCTCCTTGGTTATGAAGTTGAGTGTAGGCAAAGCAACTAGAAGATTCAGAATTATGGAACGCTAATTGAGGCAGCAAGCAGCATTAATTTGGATCATACGGTTGATACCAAAATAATATATTTATGAAATTTTCCTGAAAGGTTTCTTCAAAATCTCAAAAGCATATTCTGATTTATATTTTTTATGGGTTTTGTTTGAAAGAAAAGCTCAAGTGTACGACTACTGTTTCGTTTACGTACAGGGATGGTTGCAGTTTTGCATGAGGAGTGAATTTTGTATTTGTGTTCATGACATGAACATTGACCTCGATTAATGCTTAATTTGGAATTTAGATCATAAAAAATCTAAATATTCTGCAGTAAACGTCATAATTTTACCAAGAAAATTAGGAAGTGCTTGCAAAATCAGTATTCCTGGTCCTCTTTTATGTGTATTTTGTATTTGGGTATAACTTGTTATATTTAATTAAACCCCCTTTTTTTTTTAAATAAAATTGATATTTTTAGGTTGAAAGAAAAAAAAAACTGAGAAAAAGTCAAAGACTTCATGCTTGCTCTATTGAAGAAATTGAATATATATATATCAAATTAGTAATAATTATAACAGTGGTCATTCCCTAATTTCCTACTCTCTTCTGAAAAGTCAAATTCAAAGAAATTAAGAACAATATAATTTATCATATTGGTAATTGAGGAGAGACTGCACTTCCAATCTCAAAAAGAGTTGCAGGCTATTGATCCTGGCCCTTAAAATGTCCTGCGTAAGAAGAACAATATATATATATATATATATATATATAATTACGTACTGGAGATTTTTCCATAGCATTTCCTGGACTTACTAGTTTCCCAAGCGTTGAAGAAAGTTACAACATTGAAAGTTGAAACAATAGCTGAGCACTTGCCAAAATGGATAGAAACATAATTGGGTGCAGCGTTGATGAAATGTTTCGATGTCCTAATGAAGATTCAGAAGCAATACGAACTTTCATCAACGCTGCACTCAATGATGTTTCTTCAATCTGGATCCTCCAGTGCTTCCTCATTAACTATACGACTGATTTGAGCCCCATACATAATATATATTGGGTGCGGCAACTAGCAATACATTAGATTGAAAATGCAGTACACAAAGTTGTATTCAATCTCTTGACCTTGTACTACCAGCTCAAAACTGCTGCTGCTCTCAAGATTTGTACTGCTGACTATATATGGTACTGATAAAAAAATTTGTTGTACTACACTACATCTCCACCTAGATTAACCCCAAACACTTCTTTCTAGATCTATAATTTTCTTTAATTATCATGATTAATTATTAGATTATTTTTCTTAAGAGAGATTAAGTTATGCATGTAAATAACAAAAATGAGTAGGTCCAATTTTGGAACACAATGATGAGTAGGTCCAGTTATAGGGCAAATGTTCTTTGAAAATTACATGGCAATAACCCTAATTTCAAACGAAGTACAAAAAACTACCTCAACTATTGGTGTCACGACATTTTCATACCTCATATTTTAAAATTGACAATGTCATACCTCATCTTACGAATTTGTGCTAATGTCATACCTCCGTCAGTTTTTCTATTAATTTCTCAGTTAATTGCTGACGTGGCTTGATTCAGGACTCACTTTTTATTAAAAAAATATTAAAAACTAAAAAAAATCATTTAATATTTTTTAAATATTAAAATAATAAAGAAGGTTATTTAAAAAAAAAAAAAAAAACCAAACGAAACTTCCCCTGCGCCCTATCTCTTCTCCCCCATCTTCATCTCCCTTCATCTTCTTCCTACCTACTACAACCCAGAAAAAAGAAAAAAAAAAAACAAACAAAACAAAACAAAATTTGTCCCTTACCCCCAGGCGCCCTCTCTCTTCTCCCCCATCTTCATCTTCTTTCCTCTTCTTCCCCCTATTTGTTGCAACCCAGATAGAAAATAAAGAACAAACAAACAAACAAAACTCCCCCCCCCCGCCCCCTCTCTTCTCCCCATCTTCATCTCCCTTCCTCTTCTTCCTACCTGCTACAACCCAGAAAAAAGAAAGAAAAAAAAAACTTCCCCCCCCCCACCCAACCTGCAGAAGAAGAAGAGAGAGAAGGAAAAGAAAGAAAAAAAGGTGCCTCGCCCCCCCAACCTGCAGAGGAAGAAGAAAAAGAGAGAGAAGGAAAAAAAAATACCAGTTCGTCCATCCCCCCGTGTACCCACCATTTTCCCTCCACATACATTCCCCCCATTTTCTCCGCGCCCAAGTTCTCAAAGAGATTTGGGGTTTTTTTTTTTTTTTTTTTGGGTTGCAGGTAATGGGTGCGAGGTTGGGTGCAGAGGGTGGGTGGGGAGGTTGGGTGCGGAGAGTGGGTGCGGGGAGAAGAGGGGGGGGAGCGGGGAAGACAAATTGGATTTTCTTTTTCCTCTTTTTTTTTTTTTTCTGGGTTGAAGTTGCAGGAAGGGGGGAGAAGAAGAAGATGGGGAGAAGAGAGAGAAGGGGGGAAAGGGAACGAATTGATTGTTGGTGTATTTTTTTTTTTAATTACTTTTCCTTATTATTTTAATATTTAAAACTATTAAATGATTTTTTTGAGTTTTTAATAATTTTTTAATAGAAAATGGGCCCTGGATCAAGCCACATCAGCAATTAACTGAGAAATTAACAGAAAAACTGACGAAGGTATGACATTGGCACAAATTTATAAGATGAGGTATGACATTGTCAATTTTAAAAGATGAGGTATGAAAGTGTCGTGACACCAATAGTTGAGGTAGTTTTTTGTACTTTACACTTCTTTATTTTTTAGGGTAGTGTTATTCACACATCCATTTTTACTTCTTACACACTCTTCTCAAATTTCAGTAGTCAAACCGAATGAATTGAAAAAGATCATGAATAAAAATTAACAAGGGTATATGAGAAGTAAAAATGGGTATGTGAATAACACTACCCCTCTCTTATTGTAACTATTTTCAAACTCTCATTTCCTTTTTTTGCACTACTCCTTTTATTTTCATGCCTTGATTCTCTTTTGACTTATTCCTTCAATATCTAGAAATTAAGAGAGAAATGTAGGAAGAAATAAGAGTGCGGAAATCACTTCTCTTTATATAAGAATTAGGAGATAAATGTTACCATCAGACCCTTTAGAAAATGACAAAATGCAATACAATTATACACATGGTGTTGGAGGCACCCCGGCCTCTCTAAAAGCACTAAGATTTCATTTACAAAGTTTCATAAACTACAAGCTTAAGTGACCAATAATATCAACTAATCCCTTTTTATATACATGTAAGAATTAAATGCAGCGATCCAGACCAAAGAACTCAAAAAATGATCATCTTATGCATCAAAATTAGTACTAGCGCCCTAGCCAGCACAAATATATACGAAAATGAAGGATGCATGTTAAATTCTTATCTTTTACCACGAAAAACGATCTTACCCTCGGCATCTTCTTGCATGATGGATAACACTTCATCGGGAGGAATATGCTGCCAAATTTGAGGCTTTCCAGAACAATGTCCCAATTTCGCAAACTTATCAGCGGCCCTGTTGCCTTCTCTATAAATATGAGTCAGGACGCAGTTGTTAATCTCCGGTATGATCAAGTTTATGTGACTAATCTGCCTTTGTGCCTCTGCGCATCGAATCTGCCTCCTCTGCGCTAATCTGAAGCAATGTCTTTGCGTCTCCTTCGAGCCACACTTCGCTCCAACCATTTTCCAACACCAACTCAAGGCCTCTTCTGAGTGCAGCCAGTTCCGCAATGATGCTGTTGGCCTTTCCTATGGATTCAGCATAACCAAGTAGGAACTCGGCCTTGTGGTTTCTGAACAGCCCTCCAATGCTAGCCTTTCCCACTTCGGGTTTGGAAGATCCATCAAAGTTCAGTTTAGTCCAACCAATTTTCGGTTTTTCCCATGACACCGGAATTGACTCCTTGTGCAAACTCCCGAATAGGCAAACCGGACGTTGTTGTATTAGTTTTTCGAACCTCAAAATCTTATTGAAAGCTAACATTTTAAAGTATATATTTACTTCTTCCTAAAAACTATTTTAATTAAACATATTGCAGTGTTTAGCAAAACCGACATTACATGAAATGAAGAGAAAAATGATAAGTAGGGGAATGAGTTTTACACAACAAAAGGAAGACGAAGAGGAAGTCGAAACGTTTCTTAATGCTAAAGTTATGAATCTATATTAGTGCCCTTAATCCTTTGGAACATAAGAAACTATTGCTTCACGTAACCATGCATTGAAGGAGTTGGAGTTGAGAGAAGGCAAGGTATAGGGTTTACAACAAGGCAGCGTTTAATTAATAATATACGAGTTTCTTGACACACGCGTGAATACTTAGATGACGAAAAATGGCTAGAGAGGTTTTATTCAAGAACTCTCAAACACATTATAATGTTTATCCAGACATTTTCATGGGATTTGATATTGAAAATTGATGAGTTTTGTTGATAAAGTGCATGCTATGATATTAACATATATGCACGAAGAACTTGAGATGAACCGTTAAATGGTAACTGTAAAAACACCGATTTTATCCTAATGGGATAAAAACTGCAAATTTAACTGTATTTTATCCATAAAACTAGTGGGAACTCCGAAAAGTAAGAATGCTTAAATTTAATTAGGGTATTTTCAGGAAATGAGAGGACAAAAATGAAAAGAAAAAAAAACTCAAGGGCTGACGAGATATAGAGAAAGCATTTAATGCGGTGTTAACTTTGGTCAACTGTGATTCAGATGATCAAATTGGATTGAGATCCTCAAGGGATCTCACACTCCAGAGTCCGCAAATCGAACAATTCGGATTGTTCAAGAGAGAGATATATGAACGTTCGAGAGAGATTGTATGTGAAGTGAGTCAGTGAAATGGGCTAATAGGGGACAACATATTTTAAATTAAACGGTCTGAAATGCTTGATCTGTTGGCTCCCAAGCTGATCTCAATCTGATCAAATTAGTTGCCTACAGTTGCCCTTGTTGCGCGGTAGAGAGTCAATGACTGGGTCAACGAAATTTCCTGCCTATTTGCAGCTTAGTTACAGTAAGATCTGTGTATAATGTTTGGCCGCAATATATCTTCATGTCACACTACATATCTATCTCTCATTCAAGTAAGAATAAAAGTTCTACAAATCAATGACATGAAAAGTTCTGGCTTTTTAAACAAGGCATATCAAACTACACACCCAAAACAAATCATTTACACGGTTGCAATTCGCAGTTCCTAATCGTTTTTCAATTCATCGGAAGGACGAAATTAGTATTCAAACGAGCAACTTTATTTCTTCAATCCCACACTTTTGCTCCTTAGAATTTTTCCTTACCAATGAGCCACAACCAGTCAAGGCAAACCCCTGCAAATATGCCTCCCAAAAGAAACAGAACAAGTATATTTCCCAAGGCATTTTGCTCAGGTCCCTGCAAATCAAACAACCAGAAATTAATTTTGATTTGATTTAATCAGAAACCATGAAAACATAAATTATATTCGGAACAGGTTACGTACGTTGTAGCCTTTCGGTGCCACTGTCATGACACAGACAGTGAGATAACCATTTGTTAATCCTAAGATTGATGTCAGCAAGATCATCCACCCTTGGTCAGCGTACTTTCCTGTGAAGTAGTACGCTGGAACGAAGAGGAAACGCAATAGGATTGCAATCAGGAGACCCTTTCTGGACTCGATCTTCAGGCATTTGATGAGGGGTATGTATCGCGATATCAAATCCAACACATTGTACATTGCAACCAGGACAAGGGGATACCTGAGAGAGTTTTCAAAAGGCAACCGTACCAGAGTATATCAGATTACGAGGCATGCCTAGAGAACAAGCGTTTAAAATATGAAAGGAATCGAAACTTACCATGTCCCCAACTGGTGATTTCCGGTATTTTCGTATATGAAACCAGGGAAGATTGATAATGTCAGCACATATATCAGAAACAAGTCAAGGCAAAAATCTATATTCTGCTTGAATATCTGCATAGTGCTCAATCGAGTTGGAACTACTTTGGCATCGTTTGAGACCTGCGATAAATTTAGAAAGGTTTTTAGTAATTGGATATCCGAGCAGATCCTCAAGAACAGGCATCATCAGAGTTTAAAGAAAGGTTCAATACTTCTATGTCTGCTTGTGTTTGGACTCCAGCAGCAGCAAGATCGGCGGTTACAGTTTTAGAGCCTTCGGAAGCTGCCTTTGAGCGGTAGTACTTCACTATAGGCAATCTCGGGAAGTAAAATGCATATAGAAGAATACAGAGAAACTCGGTGAATGTGGAAATTGTCAGGAACAACACTGTAAAAGATCAGTCACACAAGAAATTATCACCGACCAAGGAACTGAAAGTATCCTTCAGAAAGTATTATTACGCTAGCTTCAGAAAGCAGCTTAATATGGAATCTGCTTCGCCACCTAATGTGTATATTGTTTTCCTACAAAACTCAAATCCACTTCCTCGGCTTTGACACATACGACCACAATATAAGAAGAAGCATATGAATATATATCAACCACCCGAACTGTCTATATGTAAAGGAAATTGACATACTCGTCCCCTTGCGAAGACCATCATGAGACTTCTCAAAGGCAGCTTTTGTCATCAGCCGCAAGCCGGAGGTTAGAGCGCCTGATGCAGCCAAACCCGCAAAGAAGGACTGCAGAAGCAGAACACTAAATTACAAACAGAAGTTGTCATAAACGTTAAACAACTGTGAAAAATAACTAACCTGGATGAATTCAGGACGCATCAACGACAGGTCCCCGACCATTCCACCTTGAACGTGGGCATCTGCAACCCCAAATGCAGCAACACATGCGCATATACCGATATAAGGTCCAACTCCTCCGCCCGCAGATGTGGCTACATCCACCTATTTACAAAGTTGAAAGTGAAGTTAATTGATCGAAAGCAACAGAAAACTTGTAACAGAATAGAGAGCAGGATTTACTTACAATTATAAGCATCAAGGTAGCGAGGAAGAAGAGAGCATATCCAATTAAATTCCGCTTTCTGGTGTCAACCTTTGCTTCATGGTATGCAAGTGTTGCCATTGTTATAAATGCAAACGGTTGATAAACAAGGGTGAGAACCCGCGATGGATGGTAAGTCTACGAAAACAAATTTCCATCAGACTTTTCAAGACTTCCCTTTTTATTTGCAAACAACCCAAAGGGAAAATAAATACGAAAATAAAGTTCAAAACTTTTCCATAGCCCAGCAACTTCAAGCCTAATTCACTTAATCTGAAAAGATCATTTGTAGCTCTTACCGGAAACAAGTTATAGTAGTAATCACCTATGGTGAGCATACTGTTCCAAGCAACAAGGGATCCCAGCCCCAGGAACCAACAAACTGCTAAAGCTTTATACTGTCCCTGCTTGTTGCAACAATTCAAAATTCAAAACATATCAGATATCACAATTCAATTGGAAAAGAGTTAAAAAAAAATGAAAACCCCCTAGAGTAATAGAAGGTGAGCATCCAACGCTCACGCGGATAGCCTGCTTTGATACCATAATCGCAAAACCAATTTTCCGAGGTGGGATTTGCACTCTCAACAGAAATTTCAATGCCTAAATCAATTTGAGGAAACAAAAGTCCAATGCTTTCAGCACAAACCTCAAGCTTTAATGGAGCCCTGGTTCCATTTTCCTCAATCATGGCTGCTTCCCATGTTTCAGAAACACACAAAGTTAGACACTTCATATATGACTACTGTTGTAAACAGTCAACTTGAAATACATTAAAAACGCAGATACCAGTATGTAAATAATCAAATATGCATATACTGGTCATTACCTGCTCAGATTCTTGAAGCTGACTTGAATATGCAACTGGGTTTTCAATAGTATATACCTTCACTTTTCCAGAAGATTAAAAAAAAATTAAAAAGATAAAATCTGGATGGAGGTTTTGACCTCTGTTCAAACCAGAACTATATATATATATATGCATGGAAAATCATAAACAATTGAGTTGTATTATTATATAAAACGATTACAGCGCCGACAACCTTAAAGATTCACATGGGCACAGAAAAAAGGATATGAGATTATGTATTTGCGAGGAATCTGATGGAGTTTTGATTCGACTGCATAGTAATCTGAAAGCAAGAATCAAAGCAGGCTGTGGAATTGAAAGCCAAAAAGGATTCTCCTTTTTTCCGAATAATTTGATTCTGATTGTGATTGAAGATTACAACTTATCTAAATAAGTTACTCTGAAGGTATCTTAACCTATGAAAAATAAGATTTTTAACGAAAGTAGGTTAGGATAATGTAGTAGAATCTTAAACCAATAATGTAACGTAGTATTTCAATTTGACATAGATAATAAATTCTTAGAATGCGGTTAGAATAATATAGCGGGATCGTAAACTAATAATACAAAATAATAGAATCCAATGCCACGTAAATAAGTCTCTCTACTTAATGGTTGACCAATAGTTTGAAAGCAGATACCTAGAGCAGATCCAATAGTTTGAAACCGATACAGTCCGGTGCCGTTTTGGTTGAAGATCGCCTTTCAATTTGAAAAGAAACAGCTGTACTTTAAAACATGCATCCCATTTGTACACGAACACATAATTTAAATTTGTGAATATTTTATAATAAATATAAGAAAATCAATCTAAATTGCTAAGAAATCTGAAAGGAACTTTTGTTTTTGGACGAAATCCGAAAGCAACATCATATTTGCCATCCACATAGTAAAATTGTAAAATACAATATGATTTAGGTTTATGGAAATAGAAACGTGAGCTGGCATAAATTATATATGATGCTAAACTCAATGTAGAATATGAACGCTCGAATGAACTATTATCATACTCGTTGTTTTAATCAATAAAATTATAACTCTTGAAGCGGGAGTACTATTCTCTTCTCTTCTCTCTCACCACGTATTATTATTTTGTAATATTATGTGGCATGTGACCGTCACACTAAACAAATACTTTTGTCTCTTTTTCTCCCTCTCCCTCACCAAGTATTCTTTTTCGATTAATACGTTAAAGGATGAAGAGATCCATATGGTAGTGCATTAAGCATCGGATCTAATGAGCTCATTAATCACGTTTAACCAATGTATAAAAAACGTTTAGTAGACTTCACAATAAGTTTCAATAATTGTAGACTTGTTAAAAAAAATCGCTTGAATTTGCTACAATTAACCGTTTTTCAAAAATTGAGTGAATGTGATACGAAAATTGCATACTATTATAATTTAAACTTTTTTTTTTTTAGTACATCGATATTTTTACACTAGAGGAATGAAGAGTTCGGCTAAGCCACACAACGGGCAACCTAATTTGGTATCAAATTGTTTAATAGATTAGACATTTTCTGGGTTCGATTTCTGGTACTGGTGAGTCGCACAATAATGACTAGGAAAATGTTGAAATGTCTTTGTGAATCTTTTCAGTCTATAAAAAGTGGACTGGCATGACGAAACCACCAATTAGTTTTTTTTAGAAGAAAGAAAAAAAAAAGAAGACTTTGACACTTGAGATACATCACCATAAAACAACCAAGAATCTCTCATCTTTAGTTGGGGCTTGACGTTGGGTGACATTTTTATTTATAAAAGGTGGAACCATAAATTGAGGAGCCACTAAAAGCTTGAAGAATAAATTGAGGAGTCACTAAAAGCTTGAAGAAAGGTTTCAAGAAAATTGACAATTGAGATTGGGCAGTGGGGTGATCGTCCTCAGTCCTCGCCAACTTCTTGTTTCGTTTCCATTGGACCAATGATGCTTCCCCAAATCAAAATCCAAACCTCACTTTTCAAAATCGAATATCATATAGGATAGTGTTATTCACACACTATTTTTTACTTTTCACACATCTCTCTCAATTTTCTATTGTCGGATCGAATAAATTGAAGAAGATCGATAACAAAAAATTAATGTTGGAGGTAAAAATAGTTGTATAAATAGCATTATCCTATCATATAATGGCACAGTTGACTGACGTAATCAGCTGACTAATGAGACTACTGCCTTTTAGCTATTGTGTGTGTGCACACACAATCTTTAGGAGAAGGGATCTCCATTTTTTAAAAATGGAAATTTGTTGTGGGGTTTAAATCACATCGAAGTTCAACGATCCGAACAATATATTTTTGTAATTGTACCTCATAGATCATTCTTGCAAAATATTGACTAAATCGGAAATATTTGATGTATCTAATTGAGTTCACAAAAACTAATAAAATTTTATCGTGACAATTAAACAAACAAGTAGTTTCAGATTGAAATGAATTTTTGCAAGAACGATCTATGAATCGAGACTTACAAAATAAACAGTTTAGATTGTTGAAATTCAATATAGAGTGAGTTCCATAATTAATATCCAATTTTTTTTTAAATGGGAATCCCTTCTTAAAGGGTGTGTGTGTGTGTGAGAGAGAGAGAGAGAGAGAGAGGGAGAGATGGTAAGGCCAGGCCCACTAAATGAAATGAAAAGGCACCTTGGTAGTGGAATGGGATACATAATCTAGGCCAAGCCCAGCCCATAATAAAAAGGCCGCAATAAGCAAAGCCCTGATCGCAAAGTGGAGATCCTCAAAGCTCATTCATTGCCCTCCACTACAAAATCTGGAAACAATCAAACAATTCCAATCATCTCTCACATTTAGTGGTAAGACTCCAGAAAAGGCCTCTAAAAAGCCATTTTCTGTGAACAAGAGTTGGGTTCTTAAGTGAGATGTTCCTCGGTAGTTTAGTGGTAAAGCGGTCGGCTGTTATTAATTAGAAGATGAACCGACTACTAACGCTGGCCGCCAAATATTGGCATTCGATAGGTAGAGTTTCTGATGCGGCACGAAGTAAAGGATTAGTAAATCCTTAAAGGATCGATAATCTGGAATCCCTCATTTATTAAAGTAATCCCAAGGGATAAAAAAAAAGGCGACCAGAAGCCAACAGGGTTCCCACTTTGTAAGGGTTCGGGACAGTTCATCTATCAATTTTTTAGAGTAAAATCCCAAAAGATAATTTTGATTAACTGATAATTGATTATTACAATTGAAACATCCAGATACTTAAATGAAGAATTTAAGGATCATAACTTCTTGGACCAACTCAACCAACTTTGGTAATTTAAACAAAATTAATTGGATGACAATTCAAAGGTCTGCTTTTTATTACGAAAATTAAAATTATGACGTCGTTCCCTTTCTGAAACTGTATTAAGGACTCAAATCAGTGCTCGAACGTCAAATTTACAAATTATCACTACGTGATTTGTCTTCCGACGATCCAGTTCCTTTTTATTCCATTCCACTATTTGTTCAACATCGGTTCCTGGTTTTCTTGATGGTAGTGCCGGTGCACTATCCCTAAACGTCTCTTTCTCCAAAAGGTTTGCTTCTCTAAAAGGTGAATTGCCACCGCCCAAGTTATACATTACCATAAACGTCCCTTTAATCATTCCAACTTGATAAGTGACAAAGACTCATATCCTATTAATTAATACCTGATTTATACACTTTGACCTTTTCCTTTCCTACCCAACGACATAAAATAATAGCTCAAATTTTGCTTCCACTTTAAGAAAGGGGGGACAATATGATTTCAAGTCTTATTACTGGAAAGGGATCCTTTCCGCTCCCTTTCACCAAATTCACCTAATCAATCAATCCGGACTCTTGAAATTTGATCAAACGGTTACAAACATAGAGCATCTTAAAAAGGTATAATAATTAGTCGTTTGATTAAATTTCTAAGGCCCGAATTAGATGATTGGGTGGATTTGGTAGAATGAATCAGGAGGAGAGGATCCCTTTCCCTTATTACTGGCCATGAGTTTGCCCTATTTTCACTTAGTTAAAACAAGTATTAAGTTCGATTAAGACGAATGCATGACAATATATATTTATAGTGAATTCAATTTTAAATTGAGATTCATATAACTATTTATGAGTGAGTTAACAACTCGTTTTAAAATATATTTATAAGTATCAAATCGATAGTTGAATTTGTTTTAGATATATATATGGACAGTCAATAACATGATTATTATGTCAAGGGGATATTACACATCAGATTCCTGTTTAAATGAGGACTCAACTACGTCATCGTGACCTCGACGCTATGAATTTTAAGTTTCTCGTATGATATTACATGATTAATTTTACATTGTCAAGTTCACGTATCAGTTGCATACAAGTTCATTGAGTCAAGTACCCCACAAGGCCGACGTTGGACCCACCAGTCACCCAGAACATCAAACACTCCAATGATTGGACAGTGAGGGGTTCGACGATGCAAGCCGGTTGGCGTAGCAAAGTCCCGTGGCCACGGGACAAAATGGTGACAAACAGGCCGGTTGCCTCTGACAATGCGATAACGACACCTGGACCCGTATACCTGGTCTTTTAAGGCATTTTCCCACCACCTCGCGCTCCCACCTTCCTTCCTTCCTCTCCACCTTGCTCGCCCAACTCCGCCGTCTGCTCTCTCACCTCCCGCCAAGTTAATTCCTTTTTTTTTTTTTTGTTGTCCAAGATACCTTTTGTATCTGGTAGACTACGAGCTTGTTTGAAAAGTGTTTTTAATCGACTGAAACGTTTTTAGAAAAAAAATACTTTTGAGTTTCAAAATGCACTTTAAGTGTTTTTCACAATTAATTTGTATTTTTACCAAAGTTTGATTTCCAAAAACATTATCTCAAAAACATTTTTAATCAATAAAACGCTTTTCAAACGAGTTCTATATGCAGTATCATCAACCAAACATGACGAGAGAGTAACAGCATCACAGAACGAAGGAAAAATAAAGACGAATATATCATTTTTCAATGGCAACTGGTTAATTAATTTATACCCTACTCAATTAGCTAAATTAGGTGAAAAAAAAGAGAGAGGAGAATATAGTAAGCGGGGCCCAGCAAAGAAGGTGAAAAAGAGATCTAACGGCTAGATATCATGGTCAATTAATTATTTATCTAAGATCTAACGGCTAGGAAATGCGATAAATAAAATATTCCGGGTCAGGCAAGCGTCTGTGACGCACCCATCCGTCACAGACATCCAAATCTCCCTCTATTTCCGCTCCCAGACATTCCTCAACGTCTGCAACTCCAACTCGATACACCAAAAGCTGACCCCTTCACAACTTTTTGTTGCGGAGAGCATAGTTCGTATCGCCCTCGGATAATGGCGTCAC